TATATATGTATATATATATATATATATATATATATATATATATATACATATATATATATATATATATAAGTAATTAAATTTAGATCATAAATATATATAAGAGATAGTATTTTTATTAAAATATATCATCCTTACAAAAGATCAAAACTTTAGAAACTCAAATTACAGGTAGCAATAAAAATGTATTTTAATAGTAAAACTTAGATTGACATTGTCAATGTATTTTATAAATAATTTTTCTGACGTCTAATAATTAATAATAATAATAATAATAATAATAATAATAATAATTCTTGATGGATCTGATCTTGTCTGATCTGATCTGATTGGATCTGATCTGTTCTAATTGGATGTTTTAATTGGATGTTCTAATTGGATCTGATCTGGTCTGATCTGATTCGATTTGATCTGATCTGATTTTAATAAGAATAAGAAAAAATAAGTTGAACGGAACGGGGCCTTAGAGTCTGTTCTTTAGAACTGAAAAAAAAAGGGCTGAATGTTCGAAGAAACTAGAAAAAATTGGAAGGAACAGGAAGAAACTGGAAAAAACTTGAAGAAACTAGAAAGAACTGGAAGAACTAGAAGATTCTGGAAGAAACGAGAATGATTTGTAAGGAACTGGAAAGAACTAAAAAAAACTAGAATGAATTGGAAAAACTTCAAAAAATTGGAAAACCTAAAAAAACTTTAAAAACATTTATTTTAAATTCTTGTTATTATAAATTATTATCTGTATGTTAAGACAAATCAAATAAGATCACACATGACTATATTTAGGCTTACACATTGAGAGAATTTGATGAGTCAAACTGCTTAGATAAACAGTTCCAAAAGTCAAAAGTGGAAGAATATAGCGGGACGGAGGGAGTATTATTATTATTATTATTATCATCATCATCATCATCATCATCATCATCATCATCATCATCATCATCATCATCATCATCATCATCACGTTATCACGTTATCTTAACGAATGCTTTAAGATACAAAAAAAAAGTATTCTTATTTTCATTGAAGCCCTATTTTTGGAATAAATACATAGAATTTTTTTAATATATTTTTTATTTTTTATTCCTATTTTAGTCTTTTTCTCTAAACTATTTTGACTTACAATTTTTTTATAAAAATTAGAAAAATGAGCAAATTGTAAGTAATAAAGGGAAAGGTGAGAGGTCTTATATAAAGTTACATTAATAAAGCATTCAATGTCACTATTTTATCATGTAGACTAATATACAAAAAATTGTCGGATTCATATTAAAAAGTTGAAGAAAAAAACAATGAGTGTAAGTCGTAAAAATAGTGAGATGAAAAAAATATTTTATAAACTATAGTTATGTACATAACAATTGTAATAATAATAATAACAATAATAATAATAATAATATAATTATATTAAAATATATATTTTTTAGAGTAATTGGTTGAGGAGTAAAAAAGTTTGAAGAAAATGAGAATAGTTGGAAGAAACTGGAAGGAACTGGAGGAAACTAGAAGAAACTGGAAGGAACTGGAAGAAATTGCAAGAAACTGAAAGCAACTGGAAGAACTGGAAGAAACTGGAAAGAACTTGAAGAAAAACTGGAAGTTAAGAGTTCAAGCTTTAAAGAACAGACTTTTAGGAGTTAGGACCAGTGTGATGAGAAAAATATTTTGAAAATCAGAGATATGAAAGTTGTGTTTGGTTGGGGATAAAATATTTTGACGTGGAACATTTCAACCAATAAAATACAATTTAGTCATTGTGTGGCAAAAGGGTAGAGTGGCATGCACTGCAGTGGCAAGTCATTATCTTTGTCACTTTTTTACATTTTTATGTATTTAATTATTAAAATTTATTTTATTTAATATTTTCATAAAAATAATTCTACTTTGTTTATACTCTCTCCATTCCCAAAAATGTCGTAGTTACTATTTTGGATTTTTGATAACATTTTTTGCACTAAAACGTCCCAACTCTCGGCGATTGTAAGATTACTAAATATTAGAACAGATCAAAACTTATCCGAGAGGTGTTATGACACAATTTCTGACTTTTATGAGACAAAAAGACTTATTAAAGGTTTGGCACTTCCAATGGAGAAAATCTATTCATCTGTATAGGTTGCATGTTTTTTTAGGGTCTAGATGCTGAGGTCACCAAATGTAAATTCTATGAGAAGACAAATTACAAAGACAACATTAAGAAAATACCGAATAGATACATGGTCTATTTTCCAGTAACTCCCAGGATAAAGATATTATACATGTCAAAGAAAACCGCTGAGTATATGTGTTGGCATGCGGAGCACAGTTTTGATAATGAAGGTGATATGTGTCAATCATGTGATTTCGAGACCTGGAAACAATTCAACCTTTCTAATCTAAATTTTGCTTCTGAAGTTCAAAGTCTAAGGTTGGGTCTCTGCACAGATGGTTTTTAACCTTTCGGCCAATCGGGTTCTCAATACTCATATTGGCAACTAATGGTTACACTTTATAATCTCCCACCCAATATGTGCATGAAAGAGGATCACATATTTTTCTCTGTGATCATTCCGGGTAATTCCAATCACAAACAAAAAGATTGATATTTTTTACAACCCTTAATTGCAGAGTTGTAGGTGTTGAAACCTTTGATGTGTCTTTGAGACAAAACTTTACGATGCAAGCTGCACTATTATAAAAAATGTCCAGTGTGTATGGATGAGCTGCAACCATTTCGACATCTGAATGGTGGCAAACAATCTTGGTTTGATACACATCGTAGATTTTTGCTAGAAGACCATCTGTATAGGAAAATAAATTTTTTATGCAAAACAAGATGAAAACTCGTCCTACTCCAAGTATAAAAAACTGGTGCCAAAATTTTAGAGGAGATTGAGAGACAATGATTGAGAAGGATCGTCGAAACTGGAGCAGAAGAGACAAACACTACCATCTTTGTGGTTGGAGAAAGAAGAGCATGTGTTGGAATCTTCCGTATTGGAAGACAAATCTTGCACGACATAATCTTGATGTTATGCACATTAAGAAAAGGAAAAATTACCCAAAATAATCCCAACTTTACCCGGTCTTTCAAAAATAATCCCACCTTTCACTGTGATGCATAATAATCTCAACTTTACTGAAATTTGCCAGTTTTGGGTCGCCGTTAAGTTTCTAACGGAGGGTTAACGAAAATGCCCGTTTTAGGCAACAAAATGAAAGTTGGGATTATTTTTGATGAATTTTCATTTTTTTTAATTTTTCATTTAAATTTTTTAAATTACTTTCTACCTCCATCATCATTTCTTTTTCCTTTTTTAACGATTAGTCTTAGTTTAAAAAATAAAAGTAATAGATATAAAAAATGAAAAAATGAGAAATGTAACTAAAATGATACAAAAATAATAAAATAAATAAGGTAATCAATGGAAACTAACTTGAAATTGGTAAAAGTAAAATAAAAATATACGGGTGGGTTTTAATATTTTATACATTATACAAAGTATTAACATATCACTTCTTATTTTTTAGAAAAAATTATCTACAATAATTCTAACTTTACCGGACGGCTTGTTCTTTTAAAAAATAAGTTGTGTAATAAGACTCCGTATAGTGTGTAAAATGTTAAACCCCACCACTGCGTATATATTTATTTTATTTCTTACCAGTTTCTGTTTAATTTCTATTGATTACATTATTTATTTGATTAATTTTGTATGGTTTTAGTTATTTTTTCTCATTTTCAATATTTTTTATATCTATTTTTTTTCTAAGGTAAGAATAATCTTTAAAAAAGAAAAAGAAATGGAGGTTGAAAGTAATTCAAAAAATTTAAAGACCGGGTAAAGTTGGGATTATTTTGGGTAATTTTTCCTAAAACAAAATACATAATAATTTTTTAAAAAAACATAGATAAGTGAATGTTTGATCATTTTGTCAAATGCTCAATACTTAGCGACGACGTCTAGAAGCACGATCCTCATTTTGCTTTTGGCGATTCTCACGGTCCTCCATCTTCTTCATCCGATCCGAGAGGTCATCAAGTCTTTCTTGAATTTTCTTCATCGGAGCCACTACGGTCTTGAGGATGAATTTCTTGAACTTCTTGAAGGGGTTTTTGGAAGTGGAAGCCATTTGAGAGTGACGGTGCAAGAGAGAGGCCGAAGAAGCATGAGACGCCGACTTTGAGCGTTTGACCCTAGGAGCACGAACGGGGACATCCGTGTTGGTATTTTCTTCGGCGTCGGCCTGGGGTGCTCGTGAAGTAGATGGCGCCATACTCTGCTCGTGTAGCTTCATCAAGATTTTGAAACTCCTTCTTCATGCAGTACTCTTCTCCAATCTTCACAAGGCCACAATAGCCAAGGCTTTCCGCATCAAGATAGCGGACACGAGAAGGGCGCACCTCAAGAATTTCCCTCTTGGCAAAGATGTGGGTAAGAAGCATGCCATAGGGTTTGTTTTGGCGATCGGAGCATTCGTACATGTGTTTTAGGATGATGGAAGGGAGATTGATTTTCTTGTGAGTGAGGAGCCAGTATAGAAGAGTGCATTCATAAACCCCAACTTGTTTATCTTTGTTAAGGACCGGGATGACATTTTCTTTGAGGATTTTGAGAAGGATGAACCTATTTGTGGGTAAGTCTTGGACATTTGGCCTATGAAGGAAGTAGTTCGGGTCTTCAAAGACATGGTTAAGAGCAATGTTGTTTAGCACTCGGAGGCAAGAATCGGAGTTAAAGTCTCGTGAGCCGGTAATCCACCCCTTTTTGCAATAGGTGGAGACTCCTTGACGCTCTAGGTGAAACCATTCAGAAAGGTTTTGGGTGTTGAATCCGAAGGTTTTTCCAGCAACTACGGCAGTAATGGAAGGGTCTTCAGGATAGTATTTCATAGAAGAATAGAATTGATGAACGAGGTCCGGGTAAACGGGGGCTTGGAGTTGAAGAAAGAAACTCTAACCTTGTTCTTGAATTAGTTCAAGAACGGGAACCGGGATGTCATCTTGTTTAAGGGTTCTCCCCTCAATGATGTGTGGGTCGGCGTAAGCCTTGAACCCATCTTGAACATCGGGTTGAGCATTGATTTGAACACTTGAAACAATTTCACTCATTTTGGAGATTTTGAGAAAGTAGGTAAAGGTTGACGAAAAAATGGGGAAATTTATACCTAATGCACGAATTTGCGAAGATTATTTGATGAAATTGAACCTAATGTTTGAAGAATTTGAAGAATTTGGAAGAGGAATTACCTTTGGAGAGACAAACGAGGTACGGGAGAGAGAAACGCGAGGATATAATCCCATTTAGTGCCCACAACGGGTCGGGTTTCCGGTCTTTCGACTAGTTCCCAAACCTTGTTGCGTTCAAATTGCTCAAGCTCTAGTTGCATGGATATAATCCAATCACTATCTTTTAGCGCATCTTCTACGTTCTTAGGTTCAAATTGACTAACGAACGCATAGTGTGCACAAAGATTGTAATTGTTCCTAGTTCTAACTCCCTTTTCAATATCTCCAATGATATTGTCTCTCGGATGATTCTTCAAGTGTTTGTAGGCCTTTGGTAGTTCCTTCTTTTCATTTTCTTCTTCTTGGGCAGGAATTTCCAGGATTTCTTCTTCCTCTTCTTCTTCATTTGAGCCTGCAATTACCTTACTCGACCCAAAGGGATCGGTTTCATCAAATTTCACATGCATAGATTCTTCTACTTTATGATTTGATTTATTATATACCCTATAGGCTCTACTATTTGTTGAATAACCAAGGAAAATTCCTTCATTTGATTTAGGCTCGAATTTGCCTAAATGATCCTTGGTATTCAAAATATAGCATTTACACCCAA